AAGCCCAAAATCCCAAGAAAGGCCTTGAAATTCCCAGGAAAGGCCTTGAAATTCCCAGGAAAGGCACTGAAATTCCAGAAAAGGCCCCAAATTCCCCAGAAGGGAATTTCCCCAAAATTCCCAGGAAAGGTCCCAAAATGTCCTGAAAAATCCCCAAAATTCCCAGGAAAAGCCCCAAAATACCCAGAAAAAGGCCCAAAAAGGCCTCAAAATATCCAGGAAGGCCCTGAAATCCCCAGAAAAGGCCTCAAATTCCCCAGAGGGACCCTGAAATTCCCAGAAAAAAACCTGAAATTCATGGGAAAGGCCCTGAAATTCCCAGGAAAGCCCAAAATACCAGGAAAACCCCTAAATTCCCAGGAACAACACCAAAATATCCAGAAAAAGCCCTGAAATTCATGGGAAAGGCCCCAGAATTCCCAGGAATAGGCCCTGAAATTCCCAAGAAAGGACCCCAAATTCAAAAAAAAAGCCCAAATTCCTAACAAAGGCACCGAAATTCATGGGAAAGGCCCTGAAATTCCCAGAAGGGTCCCAAAATTCCCAGGAAATGCCCCAAATTTCCCTGTAAAGGCCCCAGTATTCCCCAGAAAGGCCCCAAAATTATTGGGAAAGACCCTGAAATTCCCAGGAAAGGCCCCAAAATATCTGGAAAAAGCCCCGAAATTCATGGGAAAGGCCCTGAAATTTCCTGGAAAGGTCCCACATTCCCCAAAAGAGCCCTGAAATTCCCAGAAAAAAGCCCCAAAATTCCCAGGAATGGCCCCAAAATACCCAGAAAAAGCCCCAAAATTCCTGAGAACAGCCCCAAAATATCCAGAAAAACCCTGAAAAGCCCCAAAATATCCAGAAAAAGCCCAGAAATTCCCCAGAAAGGCCCCAAAATATCCAGAAAAAAAACCCGAAAAGGCCCCAAAATATCCAGAAAAAAAACCCGAAAAGGCCCCAAAATATCCCAAAAACGCCCCAAAATTCCCTGGAAAGACCCCAAAATACCTGGAAAAGCCCTAAAATGGCCCCAAAATATCCAGAAAAAGCCACAAAATTCCCAGGAAAGGCCCCAAAATTCCTCGGAAAGGTCCCAAAATATGCAGAAAAAGCCCCAAAATTCCCAGGAAAGCTGTGAAATTCCCAGAAAAGGCCCTGAAATTCCAGAGAAAGGACCCAAAATTCCCCAAAAACCCCTCAAATTTGCAAGAAAGGCCCCCAGATTCCCAGAGAACACCCCAGAATTGCCAGGAAAGGGCCTGAAATGCCCTGGAAAGGGCCCAGAATGCTTAGTAAAGGCCCCAAAATACCCAGGAAATTCCCCAAAATTCCCAGAAAAAGCCCCAAAATTTCCAGGAAATTTGGGGGAAATTGGGAAAAAGGCCCCAAATTCCTGGGAAATTCCCCAAAATTCCTGAAATTCCCAGGAAAGACCCCAGAATTCTCAGTAAAGGCCTCAAAATATCCCTGAAATTCCCCAAAATTCACATCAAATTCCCAAAAATTGCCAGGAAATTTCAAAAAATTCCCAAGAAATTCCAGGAAATTCCCCAAAATTCTTGGGAAATTCCCCAAAATTCCCAGGAAAGGCCCTGAAAATCCTGTGAAATTCCCCAAAAACTCCTGGTAAATTCCCCAAAATTCCTAGGAAAGGCCCTGACATTCCTGCAAAATTCCCCAAAATTCCCAAGAAATTCCCCAAAATTCCCAGGAAAGGCCCTGAAAATCCTGTGAAATTCCCAAAAAATTCCTGGTAAATTCCCCAAAAATTCCTGGTAAATTCCCCAAAATTCCCAGGCAAGGCCCTGAAATTCCTGCTAAATTCCCCAAAATTCCCAGGAAAGGCCCTGAAATTCCTGCTAAATTCCCCAAAATTCCCAGGAAAGGCCCTGAAAATCCTGCAAAATTCCCCAAAAACTCCTGGTAAATTCCCCAAAATTCCTAGGAAAGGCCCTGAAATTCCTGCTAAATTCCCCAAAATTCCCAGGAAAGGCCCTGAAAATCCTGCAAAATTCCCCAAAAACTCCTGGTAAATT